GTGATGCCAGCGTCATGGTGGGGATGCTGGCTTCGCGGCGGTGACAGGGCGAGCGAGCGAGCGAGAGCGGGAGCCAGCCGGGAGCGGAGGACGGGCCGGCTCGGACCTGGCTGCTGTGTGGGCTCGGGTCTCTTTCCCCCTCTCTTTCTTTCTCTTCCCCCCCCTGGATTTTGTTCTTGATTTGCATATTTAAAACCTCTCCGCTCCGTCCTGTCCCCCGCCACTGGAATCCTTCCCGGCTCTAAATGGAATTAGTGGAGATCGGAGCCTCTGGTGTAAGGAACAGACATGATCTATGGACGCAGTTTGTTTCACAGTGAGTACCTTACCCGCCGCGCCCGGTGCCATCCCTCCGTCCCCTCCCTCTTGGCCAAACGCGCAGGAGGAAAGCCACCGCTCCAGCCAGACCCCGCAGTCCCGGCGAGTCCGGGCGGATGTAAACTTTCTGTATTGCTGCATAATAGAGCCGGGCGTGGGGGCGGCGCGCCGTCTTCCCTCCATCCCGCAAGGTGCGCGGAAAACGGTCTTTCCTGAGGCTGGACCCTCCCTGGGCTGAGAACTGCGTGCAGTTCCGTCAGGGACACGTGCGGAAGAGGCTGGGGGCCCTAGCGAGGGCGCAGGTGCAAAGGGACAGAACGCGGGGCTGACACTTTATGGGACATGAAGAAATACTCTTTTTTCAAGGGCTTCTGGAGCCAAGCGAACCCATATTCCCAGTCCAGTAGGTAGTTTAAGGTACACTTGGACCCAGTACTTGAGGCAAGGGAGTGTGGATTGCAACTCGGTTCTGCCCGGAGACCTCTGCAACTGCTTGGTGGATCGGTGCTAAAGAGGGGAGTGTGGAAGTGGGAAGAGAAGGAGAGGAAAAGAGCTTCCAAAGTCATCAAGTGAAAAAAATGTGAGGCAGAAATTTAACATTATCAAGCAAGGATTACAGTATTAATTAATTCTGTACCACGCAGTTACAAGACCGGGCTTTGCTGATGAGTTAAACATAGTACGAGTTCCATAACGTGATTTCATCCAAACAGGAAAAGCCCGGTGGAAAAAACACCAAACACACAACCTAATACCGAAGGATGTATACCTGTGGTGTGTGCGTGTGTGTAGAATTATGTCAAGCCCAAGTGATTTTTTTTTATTTAAGCACACACACATACATAAACAACCACCAATGTTTCAATCTAAAAAAGCATGTGATTGGCTAAAGTATTAAGTAATATAATTGATAATTTCTTAAATATTAATATCAAGAGCTAGGATAAATTTCTTAAAATAATGTTTAAGGATAAATTTATAAGCTTCTGCAATTAGGTTTTGTTTAGGGAATAGTCATGATCTGCCCCCTCCCTGTCCCCAAATTCATTTAAGTGGAATTATGAAAATACAGATCTTTTGCATCATTGGGCAACAGAATAAATAAGAAAAGTAGAACCAGTGAGGAAAAATCAGATATTATGAAAACAAGATTACTTTAATACTGTTAGTTTTAGGTTTTGTAAAAATGTCAGGTAAATCAAGAATATAGGAGTAAATCTGAAGTTCAGGTGTTGATGGCACCACCTTTTACTGGTTAGTTACAAATCAGGGTCCCTTTTTTGACACTGAAAAAAATTCACTCAATACAACACTTAACGGAAATCACCTTTGTAAAATAACCATCTATTTCTGAATAGCAATATTAAATCAAAGTTAAGATTAAAAAGAGATTAACTTCATAGCTTAGAAAGAGCTGAGGAGAAGGGTTATTCACAGTTCAGTGCATTTTTATAAGAAACACTTTAATATTGCCGCTTACAGCCTGCAATGATCCACATTCATGTTTTTCTCTTGTCTCCCTTCCCCCACAGTCAGTAGCATTGATTTTCTAAAGTACCACCACATCAGCCACGCTCTGGGATCTACCAAGGAGTCCTTTCTAATTGTTGGGTTTTCCCTTCCTCCTTCCCGGCCTTCCTTCCTCTCTTGCTTTAGAAATGCTGGCAAAGCCTTTCTCAAAGGGCAGTTGGGAACAGGGTGGGTTCTGAGATCTCACTGTAGTGTGTGGACCTTGGCAGATTATCCTGTTGCCTCTTGGTTTGGAAGTATGTATTGCCATAGGAGTTTGGATTTCATCCATTCTTACCTTGAGTTGCTTCCCTGAGAGAGTCTCAACGTGTCCTGATTTCTGTCTTTTCAATCAGATTTTGGAAGTTTTGTGTCACCATATAACAGTTAGCAATGATGAAATTATTCTTGCTTTGATATGATTTTTTGTTATTTTTTTTATCTCTCCCTAATTTTTCTTTTCTGTTTCAGTTGTAGCAAGTTTAATCATCATCCATTTGTCTGGGGCGACCAAGAAAGGAACAGGTGTGTTTCTTTAGAAAAACGTTAATGCAAGACCTGCAATTATTTCTTATGTTCCTATTTTCTCCATAATCTTAATATTCCAGAATATCTCAACCTTTCATGGTGTGTATAATTGATTGGTTTTGACCAAGACAACATTTGGAAATTAATTTACTAATGGATATTAGAAGAATGTCCTCTCTATTTTTAGTATTATAGAAAATTGGATGGTGGCTCTTTTAATTTTTTTTTTTCTTTTACAGAAAAGCAAACCCCCTCAGAAACCCAGAAGTCAGTGCAGTGTGGCACTTGGACGAAACATGCAGATGGAGGGATCTTCACCTCCCCCAACTATCCCAGCAAGTACCCCCCTGACCGGGAGTGCGTCTACATCATAGAAGGTAAGGGAGAGAGCCCTGAGCGATGGAACAACACAAGCCCAAACCTGGCCATCTCCATGCCTTGGGTGGACAATATACATATATACATTACCAGACTGATTTTGGAGATTGGGCACATAAACATCTCAGGGTGAATTCAATAACTGTAAAATCGGGAATTAGCCTAATTATTGAAATTATTAGTAATGGGTATGAACACAAAAATTCTGGCAAATAAAAGCAAATTAACAACTTCAGAGTTTATCTAGAGTTGATTTAATTGCCTAAAGGAATAGAATGGATTCATTGTTATCATACTGTTACCTAATGTGTAACAGTTTGAGAAACTTGGTTTTTTTTTAGTTTAACAATATGTTACTATTTTATTTACGATTAGAAAGGAAAAAAGATAACGTCAAAGACGAATCTATGATCACATTTTCTAAACATTATTCACTCTCAACTTAAAGGAAGAAGGATGTTGAAAAAGAGGCCTTGTAAGCACCTGTCCAGTAAATACAGTTTTGTATGATACACGGACTTTATTTACATCTAGTGATAGAAGCTTTCAATATTTTAGGTGTTAGTACCTAATTGCCTAATACTTGCAAGTGCCCCCGACATACACACAGCAGAAACAAGCTACTTGAATGGAGAAGACTGTGCCTGTCTCCTTATGCATCAGACACATGTTCACGTACTTAATAGATCTTTCAAAGAAGCAGACTTTCTGTTTAACCAGTTTTAAGAGTAAACAAAATAAAGAATAGAGTATTGTTTTTTATGATCTTGGGGTGAAAAATCTTCTTTCCCTGACTCTCCTTCCAGTTGAGTTTTCGCAAACACACACCACATTCTGAGAAGGTGTCACACTATGGTGAAGCACTAAACTCTGATATTAGAAGGGTAGCACTGACTCAAACTAAGGGAAGGGAGTTTTAATTCCTCTTATGAGTAATAGAAAATAAAATTGATACTTTCCTTATGGAACACGCACCATGCTCTGGGGACTGTGCCCATTTCAGTACGATGTGAAGGGGCCCTGAGATTAGCACAGTGGGGTTAGAAGGAGACCAGAGAGAAGACTCCGGTGGAGGGAGAGACGCCCACCTGCATTTTTGAAGAACATTTAGGAGGTAATCGTTCTTTACACAGATCAGCATGAGAAAAATTCAGAGGTATAGTATGGTTTGGGGCCTACCTGCCGTATCCCAGGGCTTCTCCATGGTGTGAGGAGAGGAACAGGGGAGGGGGCTGAGGAGGGGGACAGTCTCTGGGATTCCATCTGTCCATGCAAGCAACTTGGGGCATTATGTTGTGGACCAAGAGGTACAACTGACATAAATTACGTAGAAAAATAATGGGAAATTCTGGGGAGGAAGTTACTGAAGGAAAATAACGTAAGAGGTTAGACAATTAAGCTCATGAACTCAGCCTAGAAAAGATGCTACGTTCCTCATTCCTGAATATCACTAAGGTCGCCCAGCCTTGTAGTACCCTCCTTGGGAAGCCATATGCTGCTGCCAGCACCTGTCTACATATGTGCTGCTATTCAGGTAAAGGTGCCAGCACCTGTCTACACGTGCGCTATTCAGGTAAAGGTGCCAGCACCTGTCTACACGTGCGCTATTCAGGTAAAAGTGCCATAGTCCTCAAAGTATCTGACGATTCTCAGAGAGCAAAACCTCCCATAAGGGATCCTTGGTTTTAGGTTCAAGATAAGTGACAGAAAATGTGCACAAGAAAGGAACCAGTGAGCTGAGATTGGAAGGTGAAGAAAATGTAAGTTTAGGGATCTGGACCTAGATAGCGTCAAATGGTTTACATGAGATGGAATCACTTTTCTTTTCTTTTTTTTTTCCTGTCTACAACTAGACTAGACTATGGCATGCTTATTTTTAAAAAGTCATTTTGCTACCTACTAAAATTCAGCTAGTGGACTTCATACATGGGTGTGTCATTAACTACAGCATGTTGGACCAGAGGAAGATGAATTTTCCATATATAATATGGTCCATAAGCCATAATGATGGCATTTCTCCCCAAGGAATACGAAGAGATTTGTTAATCGTTGTTGGAAAGAACTTAAGGGACAGGGACAACGAAAATGAAAATTTGAATAAATGAATTCATGATAGATGGCTGGGTATTTCCCTGTAGAGAAAATAAGTGGGCATCAGTTAGTAGATGGTAGGTCTCTAAGTAAATTGGCAAGGAATTCTCTTATCACTTTAAGTTTCCTGTAGACATACACTTTTTGCATCTAAAAGAATAATTCCATCAGAAATGGTTTCTTTCATTACAACTTTTGATACCAATTTATCAAAAAGGAGATAAAAAGGTGGCCATGTGCTATAGAATAATAACATATACAAATGGTTTATTTAGTGCCAATATGTAAATGGGTACAGTCTTTTAAGCATTTGTCTTTCTGTTATTAGAGTAATACTTTAGGGAGAAAATATAGTTTTTCAGGTAGTTTCTTAGGCTACTTTCAAATTTACAGATTTCAAAAAATTCATTGAAACTCTCTTAAAGCTACAATTGTGGGTACCATATTTGTTGACCTTTGTGATATTTATTAATCACGGATAAAAGTATGCCTTTTTTTTCTTGAAAGAGTTATAAAGGTATTTTTTGAATGTGCAACAAGTCAAAAATATTCTGAGAAATTACAAAATAATTGTGAAATCATCTTGTAACATGAACTGACTTTTAGCCTATTGATCCTCAATTTTATACTTGGAGAGCATCAGGGTTATTTTCTTCTATAAGTCTCTAATTCCCAAGTCACTATAAATCTCAATTTTGCATACTTTTTTTTTTTTTTTTGAGACAGAGCCTCAAGTTATTGCCCTGGGTAAAGTGCTGTGGTGTCACAGCTCACAGCAACCTCCAACTCCTGGGCTTAAGCGATTCTCTTACCTCAGCCTCCCAGGTAGCTGGGACTACAGGCACCCGCCACAATATCTGGCTGTTTTTTGGTTGTCATTGTTTAGCAGGCCCAGGCTGGATTCGAACCCACCAGCTCTGGTGTATGTGGCTGGCGCCTTAGCTGCTTGAACTACAGGCACCGAGCCAATTTTACAATTTTTGAAATTGATGCATCCACGTTTTTACTTTTTAAGTCATCAATGGCGATATTCAAAATATATTTAGGGTCCTGTGAGACGTGGACAGCATTGGTCAGGAATGGCTGTTGGTCACGCGGAGAGCAGGCTGTGCTGTGCCCACTCTTAACTTCCAAGTTCCTGGAGGGTGAGTCCTCGAAGAGGCCAAGCAGCAGGGACCTACTCAGACGACTCTGGACCACTGCTGCTTACTAACTAGGATAAATGTGTGTTGATATTTCAGCAAATGCTGTGCCATTCTGCAAAATGTTGGCCAGATCTAAGTTGGGAGTGCCAGAATTTTGGACTGTTTTAGATATCCTAAGGGAAGAATGGAAGGACATTAACAAATGCAATCGTGGTGGTGCAAGGGCTTGCTAGCCGCACAAAACTCTTCCATGATTCCTTTGAGAGCTGTAAAGATACCTGTGCAAGAATACTCATTTATAATTCACTGAAAAAGTTTTTTTGGGGAAATTCTTAATGACAAGTGCTAAGTGCTAAGAAAAGAAGAGAAGGTGACTAGTCTTAGAAAAAAAAGAACGAAAGGAAAACATGTATAATCCTGGAAGAACATACTACCTTAGACAGCCTGGGGTGTTGAAGTGGTCTGAGCTTGAGCCATCTGCTATGGAAGACCCTGAAAGTAGAATGCCTTTAAGGACAATGTATGGCACGTACATTGCAGAAGTTTAAACCTGAGAGTAAGGTGATCAGGTTAGCCTTCTAGACACATTGCTCTTGGCATCTTAGTATCTGCACTTGGGTGGAATCAAGACACAGGAGCGGGACTACTTGAGTGGTTGGATAACTCTACGCCGAATGATTCTCAAGTGGTTTCTGACCTTAAATCTGGGCGTCCCATAAAATACAAGAAGAGACACAGAAAAATATCTGTTCAACTTTTGAACCTAAGTTGGCAGCCTTTCACATACTGCGACTTTTTAGTTCTGCATTTGAAATCCAAATGGTGATTTTATATCAGAATAATACTTTGTGCAACATCATAAATTGTCAGGTTCGCCCCTTAGACAGTTTTATGAAAATCTTGTCCCTTAGAATAGTAAGTAAATACTGAACACTTTCTTTGTATTTCCATGTATATCATCTGCAGAATTTATAGGCATACAAATAGAATCGGAAAAATCAACCTGCAGTTTTAAGAAATGGCCTCCCAGACACAAGCTTAAGAAGTCTCTGTTTGTTTTTCTTGTACAGCTGCCCCAAGACAGTGCATTGAACTTTACTTTGATGAAAAGTACTCTATTGAACCGTCTTGGGAGTGCAAATTTGATCATATTGAAGTTCGAGATGGACCTTTTGGCTTTTCTCCAATAATTGGGCGTTTCTGTGGACAACAAAATCCACCTGTAATAAAATCCAGTGGAAGATTTCTATGGATTAAATTTTTTGCTGATGGAGAGCTGGAATCAATGGGGTTTTCAGCTCGATACAATTTCACACCTGGTAAGTAAAGGCTTTTTTTTTTTTTTTCCTGTTTCATTGTTTTTTTAAATCTATGCCTTTTTCTTCCTGTTTTCTATCTTTATGGTATAAAATCTTTTGTAAGACATTGTTATAACTTTCCAAAGAATTTTCAAGTTCTATTTAAACCTAAACCTGCAATCAGCTCCTGTCTCTGTCCATGAATTTTAAAAGGAAAATATATTTTCCTTGAAATGCAGCCTACACTAGAGATAAAGAGTAGTGAGTGACTTGGGGGTCTGCGTGGTCATCAGTAAATTAAATGGACTTTACTATTTTTTTTTTTTTACAACAAATGGACTTTACTATTACACCAAATACCGCAATTTGAGAAATAGTCTATATTGAGGAAACTAATTATACGTGGGATCCAAATAAACTTGAAAAGGCAATTATAGTATTATAAGATATATCTGTCAAAATGATCACTTTGGAGAACTTGAATAAAAAGCTCATTTGTTCTGATAATTATCATTTTTAAGGCAAATAGATTCTACTACAAAGCAGTCTAATCTCTTTTTGGAAATGCAAATTCTAAGAGTTTTGGTGAAAGGAAAACTGAGACCTGTAGCAGCCAAATATTCATTTGGAAGGTCTTACAGACGTTATGTGCAATTATAAAATTATGCACTCTCCATCAATTTTGCTTTTAGCCTGCTAATAATGAAAAGAGTCTGTGAGGTTGACTGGCTCACTTTATGAAGAGTTATTATTCCTTACAATAAAAATTTGTCATCACAGTTTCAAACTGAAAAAGCACCACATTCATCTATTTGAGATTTGATGAAGTGATTTTTTTAAATAGAAAAATGATTCAAATTATATAAAGCCCACTATTTATTTCTAAATATGTGCTTTTCAGTCTGTATGTATCATTTTACTTAGGTTGTAAGGTGCAATATAAGAATTTGAAATATATGTAAAATTTGTTGAAATTTCTATTCAGTGTTATGGAGGTACCATCTCAACAGGGCTTCTATGCTCAGTTAAAAAACTAAAATTCTAAAAATGATTAATATAAGAATAATGATGACTTTAACTATGATGTCATGGGGTGTTAGATAAATCAGATATTAACTGGATCATATGTATTCATCATAAAGATTGGAAATATTTATATGATATCACCGGGGACTGTGATTTTAACTATGCTTTGATAATTTTGGATTGCTCACAGAAGTCATGGTATCAGATGTGCCAGGACCAAACTAATTTGATGTAGTATTCCACAAAAGTACAAACACCAGTTTATTTTATCTGTCAGGTTATTAGAGTGAGCGTTGTAAATGGAAATGCCTGTATTTTTTTTTAAACTGATAATTTCAAATATAACTTGGCTCTAGAGACAGTGAAGTTTGGCATGACCTGGGATTTTGTTCTATGTTTGGTGACCACCAAAATAATATATAGGATTTAAAATTGTGGTTTTATAAAGAATGGAGGGTCAACTAACAGACTTTGCCAATGTAGGCAATGCTATCACCTTTTCTGGATCTAGTTGAGATGCCACAGTGGTGGTGCTTCATCTGACCTTCTAGGTTTTGAAAGCCTTTCTGTTCTCTGGAAATTGTTGTTTGCTCTTTGCCTGTTCAGAGCCACCATTCTTCATCCATAGAAGGAGAAGCTGTGATTGCAAGGGACAAGTGAATCAGAAGGGAACTTGAGGAAATGATTCCATGAAGTTAGGATGAGTTAAGGGTGGGTCGGGGCCCTCCTGTCTACACTCAGATTAGCTACAGTGATGCCCACAGGGACTCTTACACTTGGCATATGAAGGAAAAGTGGGATCTTACGAAGGAGACTTGCAAAACTTCCATGACAGGGAAAGTTGAGATAATCTGGCAGGTCCATGGTCTGAGTAGACAGAACCATGTTCAACTCATCCCATAAAGAGGCAGTGCTGAGGAATCCAGTGAGTTACTGAAATGGGAAGAGGTGACTAAGGATTTAGACAGCAATTTAGGGAATCTGGAACTAGGTGGAAATTATCACTGCTGGGATTGCCAGGGTACCTGAGTGGACTCACATTGGTGGAGAAAGTCTGCCTAGGGGATGGTCTAAGAGAGCTGGTCTCCAGGACAGCCAGGAGCAGCACCAGCTTGGCCACCAGATCTGGCTTTCTTTCATTGCAAGCCATAAACTTTGGACCTACATTTTAATGTTTTTCCCCTCAATTTTTTAACTGTAAAATAATGATAATATTGGCCACTTTACAATTGTTTGAAGGGTAAGTCAACCGGTGGATGTTGACGGGGTTTTTTGAGTGCCTGTAAGATTTTAACCATTGATAGCTACCATTTTTATTGATTTGATCACGTGTTCTTTAAAATACAAGGAGATTTGATATAGGCAATTGAGAGAACAAATGTCCCAGGGTTGTTTTTTTTTAAATTATAACCCCCCCTTTCCTTGATTTTATGAAGTAGATGCACAAAATTAATACCTAAACCATCTTGCTCTTCCTTAGTTTAGGAATGTGAGTTCATTTAAATGGTCTAGATGTGCAGGCGAGGGTTCTAGCTATTTCTGATGGCAGTCATGACAGACAATATGTCAAATAGACATAGAGGCAGCAAAGGGCAGGTGGTCTTTATTATTTGTATGAATTTAGCATGATCTGGAATCTAGATTTAATCTTATAATCTCAGAAACTTGATTTCAACACATTAAGAGTATCTCTTAGGAATGAATCATGTTTGCTGACCTAGCAAGACTGAATGTATGTATGTGTGCATATATATATATATATATACACACACACCTGCTGTATACCCATTACATACACATATAGATTATGTACATATATACACATTTTTAAGACGAATTCTTGGAATCACACAGCTCAGTTCTTCCTGTAAACAAACATACCTGGGTACGCAGATTATACCAGAAAATTGTTTAGTGCGTGTGGAATCAGAACGCGATGCTGTGTAACATACATGTTTCATAGCATCAAACTAAGTACTTGAAGATCCAGCTCCATAACACGGATCATTTCTTCCCATGGAACTTTGGGTCTCACACAACCATAGGTTAGTTCCAGTCTCCATCCCTTTGCCACCTCAAACAGCACATTGATTGTGTAAGCTTCCTTCTCTTTCTTTCTTTCCCTCCCTCCCTCCCTCCCTCCCTTCCTTCCTCTCTTTCGCCTCCTCCTCCTTCTTTCTTTCCTTCTATCTTTGTTGCCCCAGTCTAGAGTGCTATGACTTCAGCCTAGTCACAGGAACTTCAGACTCCTGGGTTAAAGCAATCCTCCTGCTTCAGCCTCCCCAGTGGCTGGGACTACAGGCACTGGCCACTGTGCCTGGTTAATTTTTTCTATTCTTAGTGGAGGTAGGATCTTATTCTTGCTCAGTCAGGCCTTGAACTCCTGTGCTCAAGGGATCCACCTTCTTTAATCTCCTACGGTACTAGAATTATAGGCTGAACCACTGCAACTTGCCCAATTGTGTAGACTTTTATGTACATGACATCACCAAGTTGTTTCTATCTCGTAGTATCTGAGTCTTTGACTTTCTTTTCTACTGAACTTTGAAAAAATAGCCTGGCTCTTGCTGTCCCTAGTGTCTATGCTGCTGAGTTCCTGGTGATATACAGATACTAGCCAGGAGGGGTCGTGCACGACTATGCAGAGGAGAAAGGCAGACCTGGAGAAGACATAGCAAACACACTTGCTTACAGGAGGCTCTTCTCTTTCTCCTGACATGTTCTGATGATCGTTCAGTTTTCAGTTCACTGACGGATATTCTTAGATGCTGTGCCTTTACCCAGCTCCACACTGCAGTGATGAACTACCTTGGATTATAGTCCAGCGTGCATAAAATGTATTTTGAGATTGAGAAGTCAGGGAGAAATCAACTGGTTCAAATTCTGAGGTCTAAAAAGGCAAAAGAAAGGCCAAAGGAAGAGCCCCGGGTTCCAGAGCAGTGGTGGCCAGTGCAGGGATGACATTCTCTTTCCAGGCTAGAAGGTCTCCTCAGCTATACCCCTTTCCACTGCTAAGAAAGATGAGTGCAGAATCATTGAAAATGTTAAAAATTACATGATGGAAAATTTGATAATACACAATTCAATAAGTAAACCTATAAAAACGTATGAAGATATTCATTGCAATGAAATTATATTGTTTTCTTACTTAAAAAGACATTAATTTTTCTTTACAAACGATTTTAACCAATTTTGTCACCGAAAAAAATGATTGGAAAATATTTTATGGTCCAAGAAATTTGACCTGTCACAGAACGGTGTGAACACCAAGCTGATAGGAACAAGGTCCTCGCTGCCTTAGGGAGATGATGGCAGAGGAGGGAACAAGGACTGGAGGGACCAAGATGGAGAGATGGTAAAAATCAACTAAATTCATGAGAAATACTTTAGTTTTGGAAATGGAATCTGTATTTTTTGTGTAACACAAGTAAATTATTTAAGATAAAAAGTTTAAAACTACCAGAGTTGATAATTTTAATGCATTTTTAGAAAGGGGAATAATATTTCCCTTTCACAAATTTTTTCTAGTCAAACTAGCAATGCCTTTTAAGCAGAGTGTATTTCCCTGCAGCCAGCTGTCTCCTCTCAATTTTCTTTGCACTTGAAAATAGAAGGAGAAACATGTTCACTATCTACTGTACTCCTCAGCCCCCTGGCATTACCCAGGGATCTTACCATTGAGAAAGAAAAACACTCAGGATATTCCATTCTGGGGGACGGTGACCCTTCCAAGCTCTTTAGTAACAGATACCTCTTATTAGTGTTATACTTCAGTTCCTAATGGAGAGATTTTCTGCTATTTGCAGAAATAGAATGAGATATTTATGGACTCTTCCTCTTTTGAGTATATGTATTTCTTCTGTACTAGTTGTACAAAATGAAGTACATGCAACACACTAGAGATGTTTAACTTAAGGTATATACCTCAGAGTACCAAATTGGTGAGCTTGATTTAGGCATTGCCATTGAAGTGAGTGGAGTTGTTAAACGTATTG